GACAGCTTGGAAACAACAGGATGGCTGCTGACTGACACCAGATAACAAATAAATTAACAAGTAAATAGCAAATATAAACCTTCTGTAAGATTGTGAACCTGGAGTACCCAGCCAGTGGGGAAACAGGGGAGGGGGGAGACAAGGGGGAGAAAACAGGGTCTAAAGGCTGTCATGATGTGTCCATAGGTGCTCCTGCTTGTGGGACACCCGCCATTGCAATCGTGAATAAAATCTGCTTTTATCAGAGATGCCATCCTGACAAACATTACTTGGATGTTTCCAACAATTTGGGGCCTCATCCGGGATTATGATCGCCTCTTTGGGAGTTTCCCTACTGCCCTGCACAGGATAGGTGCACCCCGCTGATGGCAGCGGTCCTGTCTGGGTGCTGAGGTGACTCCTTGGGATGCTGATATTATGTAACCTAGACTGTTACATAGAGGACAGGCTCTGTGAAAGCCAAGGGCAGGCAGGCACGGGTGTTGGCCATGGCGACCCGGTAACTTGGTGCACCGACCAAGGTAAGGGGATTTAACTCTTTCCTTGGGGTCGGTTGAGACTCTTGAGTGTGTGTGACTGAGACGTGCCCTCAGTGCAAAGCGAGTGCTGAGTGCCGAGCTGCAGCTCCGCTGTGCCGCGAGGGGCAATGGCCAGGGACGGATGGAGCGGCTGCTGGTGGAAGGAAGAGCCTCGGGAGGGAGCTGCTGTGTGCCAGCAGTGCGCCCCTATTAATCCAAGAGATAGAAGTGTAGTACTGCTGAGGGACTGGGCCAAAATCCGAGCATCAGAGTGCGGTAACCTGTGAGCTGGGGAGTTCATGGTAGCATTCTGGAGGGATGGGGAATAGGAGTTCTGAGAGCAGGGGGAAAAGGTCCCCGGAGTGGTGCCTAGAGATAGCCAGCCCCTTGGGAGAAGTGCTTCAAAACTGGAAAATAATCCCCAAACTAGGAAAAGAACAGGGAAAAGATATTTAAATACTGTATACAGTAGAGAGCCACTGCAGGGAAAATCATTATTTTGACCAAAATAGGAATCTGACGAAAATTGGGCCTGTCAGACTTTGTATTTGTATGTAAGCAGTAAGACTCCTTTTCTGAAACAGAATTGGCTTAGGTCGCTTAATGGGTGCAAGAAGTAAAGAAATGTTCCTCACGAGGAGTCAAAGTTCAAAGGAAATAGGAAAGAGAAGCAGAAAGATCATAAATGGGATCCCTTAGGTAACTTCCCCCCCCCTTCAATTTCTAAAGCAGTGCAAGAGGCAGTGAGCTCTCAGAGGAGGAGAGTGGGTGCTGCTGGTCTGTGCAGGTCCTGGAGAGAGGATGCATTCTGGATTACTGAGGGAGTTGGAGTAATGCGAATGGGACCTGGATAGTTTTCCTTTCTCTAATGCTAACCTTACTAACACCTCACTTTGTCCTCTTAGGGCAGTCTTAGGTCAAAGGGAAATAGGATATGGCAATGCCTGCTGTTTTTACTAGAAGGGGAGTTAGGAGTTTCAAGAAGAATTCCTTAACTGAGGATCCTATAAGTGTAGCAGAACAACAAGATCAATTTCTAGGGCCTAATTTCTACTCATGGATGGAAATGATGTTTATCATTGATATGTTGATTATTGGAGAAGGAGGCTGGCAGCTACACAAGTGTGGGAAATGAATACAGAGGGAAGGTTGGGCTCTGGAGGGAGGCAGAGAGGAAGGATCCTGAGGACAAATGGTACTGATTGTTGTCACTGCCTTTGTGATTGTTAAATGTTTATGTCATGGAAGTGTTATGTTATGTTATGTTATGTTATGTTATGTTATGTTATGTTATG